TTTATTCAATTTTCAGCAATAGAAATTAGATCAGTCTTTTCTCACGCAAAGCTTATGATTAGTTGATTACAATGACTGGAAAAAAAATTGGGATGCCCACGCTCGTTAGCGAGCTAGAGCCATTTTTCAACTGACAGAGCTCAATATCAAGGCAAATCCGTCATGTTTTCAATGTGCGCGTGCACGAGCGCGCGCTAATGACGCCATAAATTATGCGCTGTAAGGATGCGCAATGCAAATGTGAGGAATGACCTTGAGAGTTTTTACTATGGTTTCTGTAATTTTATAGTTTTAAATATCCAGGGCCGACAACTCCCACTCTTTCGAATCTACCACAATAGGGCCACAATAGGGCCATTTATACGAGGAAAATAATCCGAGGCTCACATAAGACGCGAACTGAACATTTATACGAGCGCGGCTTATATAAGACGCGAAGTGCTCGTAAAAATGGTTCACGGCTTATTCGCGACTAATACCTCCGTTTTGGTGTTCGTTGTCATAGCAACTGCCGTCCATGTGTTAGCAAAATACAAAGAAGGGGTATCGAATGATCTTTGCGAGCATTTGCGAGCATGAGAGCAGTGCATGTGCGTTTATTTTTGCGAGCACAAGAAGTGATCAAATTTGTCTTGCGAGCAGCGAGCAGTTTAGAAAATAACTGATGGCGTGCAGCGAGCTTCGGAAATTTAACACACCCAACCGGACAAATAGGCAGGCTCTTTCGCGGAGAAAACGATTACTATTTGGGTTTTTATTAAAAAAGTAAGCTTCAGTTGAATCTGAAGTATTTTGCACTACGGCCTCTAAACGAAAACGTCAAGTCTCTGAAAAAATATGAAGGAAAGCCGAGGCAAGCTAGACGAGGGCGATCAAGAGTGGTGTGAGCGGAATGTGCAGGAGATGGATAACACATCCAAGAGACTCTTTGTCTTCTGTATATCGCCAGATTTCTTGTTTTGGCCTGTGCTCCTCTTGCCGACCACGCGACGGATGAGGCATTATTTTTCTCCAGATCGGAATTGCGCGAGCGCGGGAAAAACTTGCGCTTGCGCAGTGTGAGTTTGCGTCTTACGAAAGTCGCACACAAGCCGCGATGCCATTTATACGAGTGGTTTCGCGCCTTATTTAAGCCGAACTTAAAACCCTCGTCTTACAAGCCGCGTCTTATGTTATCCTCGGCTTGTGTAAGACGTGAACTAGTGAAAATGTACCGTTTATAGATCTTTATATAGTAATCAAATGAATGCGCGCGCCCTGATTGGTCAATCAGCTATGGTTTATTGTGCCAGTAAACTCATGGAAATTTCGCGTGTCTTCTGAATTATTACATAAAAGCAATAGACCACAATTTTCTATGGTTTAGAGGCATGATGAACCACTTGGGATGTTGAAAGAACACTCGAAGAATTCGTAAATCACGAGCCGCAGGCGAGTGATTTACGCGGTAAGTTCGCGTCTTATGTAAGCTGCGCATTATTTTCCTCGTTTAAATGGCCCTAATTATGGCTTTTTGTTTCCAATTCAGCTTCACTCTTTTACTTGCAAAGTAAGTTGTGCAACATTATCTTGCAAAAAGCATTTTTTTTTTTTGTCCTTTCTCCCTCTGCAATGTTTATTTATGTCCTGTCCACTTTCGGTCGTAGTCACTAAAATAGTGACAGAGTTTTCTTTGTCTACAGTTTTTTTGACTGGAAACGAGTGAGTTGCCATGGGAATAGAGCTTTTTCTAGCTGTAGGTGTACGATGTGTCGCTTGAAGAACTAATAACTTACCACGTTTCAATGGTTTCTGCTGTAAATTGACCGATATAGCTCCGATTTAAATACTTGAGGTAATATTGGGTTGAGTGTATGACATCAGTCCTCTCATTTGCATATTTTAGACGTTTTTCAAACTTAAATATTTCCAGAAGCAATGAAGATAATTGCAAAATATAAACGGCCTTTTAAATCTTTCGTCGAATTCTATGTGGCACACCTTAAAATTCCAGAAATAAACGTTTGGTCATTGTAGCACTTACTTTCACAGGAACACAAAAGCTTCAGCTCAGCGCTCTGAATTTAAAAATACAGCATACAATGCCGAAGCTTACTTGTTCCTGTATATGGTCTGATGAAACATCTGTCGTCAATACTACAGCTTTCTGTAATGTAAAATAATGAATTTTACTGGTGAAGGACAGCAAACTCAAACAGTTCTACAAATCCGATGTTCAGCCGCCTGGGCAAGTGGAATACATGAACATTTAAAACATCTTTCAGCGTTCCACGCTTTTCTCTCCATCACTGCAGTTCTTGGCAATATTCTGATCCTCGTTGCCCTTCGCAAGGTGTCTTCCCTTCATCCGCCGACCAAACTCTTGTTTAGATGTTTGGCCACAACTGATCTCTGTGTTGGTCTTGTTGCAGAGCCTCTCAGTGCTGTCTATTGGATGTCTGTGGCTCACGAAGAATGGAATCTTTGTCGCTACGCAGCTCCCTCCTTTATCATTGCTAGCTACACTTTGTGTTCAGTATCTTTGCTGACAGTGACCGCAATAAGCGTGGACAGACTTCTCGCCCTGTTGTTAGGGCTGAGATTTAGACAAGTTGTAACTTTGAAGCGAACATATGTGACTGTAGTAATCTTTTGGATTATGGCCGCTGTTTCTTCGATATTGTACCTTTTAACTCGCCTAATAACCATTTGGTTTGGCTATTTACTTGTACCGTGCTGTGTAGTAACCTCAATCGCCTCGTACACAAAGATTTTCCTCAAACTCCGCCATCAGGAGGGTCAGGTCCAACAAGAACAAACAAGCCATATAAATCCACTCAACATAGAGCGATACAGAAAAGCAGTTTCCGGTGTACTGTGGGTGCAGTGTACACTAGTAGCTTTTTATTTACCATATGGTATAGTAGTGGCTTTATTTGATTATACCGCGAAATTTTCTCCATCCAGTGTTCTCATTTTGGAATTAGCAGTGAGTTTAGTTTTCGTGAACTCATCGTTAAACCCATTTCTTTACTGCTGGAAGATCAGCGAAGTGAAGCAAGCAGTCAAGGAAACAATCAGAGAAGCACTTTGCTGTTTATCGGGTTAGTTCAGTCATTGTCGACTTGAACTTATGGGTGAAGATGGTGTTTAATTGATACCTGAGAATTGCTTAATATTTTAATTTAACCAGCAGCTGAAAAATGACGCGCTTTTTTTTTTTGCCCGCCAGCATGAGATCTGCAAAATTTACTGATAACTGGAAAATAGGATGAAATATAATTTTAACTGAAAGCTGTGAAATAAGCGGATCATTATCCGATAACTAAGCTTCCAGCACGCCCAAGCAGCCTCTCATACAAATAGTATTCCATACAGAGTAAGGCGAAATATATTAAACGTTGTTTTTGCATGATGCTGTAACAAAATTTTATGATAACTTGCCAGTTGTACTGTACTGAAGTAGCTAGTTTTGTAGGTTAGAAATTTAAAGTACAAACTTCAAGTGTAGAGGTTTTTATTCTAACTTTTTACAAGTTTCACGTATACGATTAGACTGTTAATAAACTTTTAGAAATTAAGTAAAGTAAACATAAGATAGAGAGAAGAATATTTCATAGGTTAACCTTCCTCACACAGTTTCACTTGCACGAACTAGAAATTAACATTAGGTTACCATGAAACAGCCTTACGAAAAAAATAGAGGGGGAGAAATTTCATTTCTAATCAATCATTTGTCAGTAACTTAAAATTTAAAAAATATATAATTTTTAGAGAAGAAGCCACTTCAACCTTAGCTGGTTTTCTACCGGGTCCTTCATTCTGGTCGAATTAGATTTTGGAATGTTGGTTTTTGTGGAGAGAGGAAAACCGGAGAACCCGGAAAAAAACTCTCGGAGCAAGGCGAGAACCAACAACAAACTTAACTTACATGTGGCACCAGAATCGAACCTGCTACATTGGTGAGAGGCGAGCGCTCTCACCACTGCGCTATTCCTGCTTTCCTCAACTTCACGTGAAAGGAATTTCTCAGAAATGCTAGAAAACGAGTTTTAAGCAGATTCGGAAAAATTTAAATGGTTTCTCTCGTTGCTCCTTGTATGAGCTTTCTGACAGTTAGAGCTCCTCAAGGAAGCGGTTGCAGAGTCCATATATTTGAGTTTTGGAAAGTACCGGTTTTTTATTTTCCCGTATAAAATAAAATAATACCTCTAAACCGTATCAAAAAGGAAGAAAAACTGAATATTGCCCCATTTTTGGCTGTTTGCCATTGAACAGACTGTGAGAAATTAGACATAAAATCGAGTTCAAAATAGCCAAACTGAAAACCGTGCTTTGACGGTTTAAGAGGCCTGCAGCTGGCGTAGCAAATTTGAATATTTTAGATGTAATTCCCAGTTTGGCGATTTCATCTCAACATGTCGCTTATGTCTCCCAATCTGTCAACTAAGGAGCAATTATTTTCTCTCCCTGTGACACATGTCAGAGGTAGAAGTATTAATTTCATTTTATACGGAAATTATAAAAGAAGTATTTTGTAGTTCGGTTTTTGACAGAGTAATAAAGTTCATTTTGTTCATTTTTCATGACTCAAACCTAGGAAAACTTATAATATTATTTATTGAAACTGACTCCTACAATGTTCTTATATGATTGCCATGCAGTTAAGAAGCCCCTCCAAGTAAATAGCGATTCTGAAGCCCGTTATGACGAACTTCAACCTGGAAGCAAACAAACGGTCTTTATGCCTCGCCAAGAAGACAGCAGATCAAACCTGCTGAAGGGAACAATCTGCAACAAAGTTCAATGTCATCTGCTGTCACTGAATAGTTAATATTTAGCTCTTATCAACCGAGCTTAGTCGGTCGGTATGGGAGAATCTTCACCTCGGTTGTGAGTACAGACCGAACGCAGTGAGGTCTGTACAAACGACCGTGGTCAAGATTCTCCAATACAGACCGACTAAGCTCGGTTAATAAGATGTTTATTATGTGGCAAACAAGAAAAATTTAACTCATTTAATGTAACTGGTTTTTTACTGGCTGACATTTTACCTGACCGTCCTGATGACGGAGTTTGAGGAAAATCTTTGTGTACGAGGCGATTGAGGTTATTACACAGAACGGTGCAAGTAAATAGCCAAACCAAACTCTTATAAGGCGAGTTAAAAGGTACAATATCGAAGAAACCGCAGACATGATTCAAAAGATTACTACACTCGCATATGTTCGCTTCAAACTTTACAACTTGTCTAAATCTCAGCCCTAACAACAGGACGAGAAGTCTGTCCACGTTTATTGCGATCACTGTAAGCAAAGATACTGAACACGAAGTGTAGCTTGCAACATTTTCTCTTGCTTGTAATGATAAAGGAGGGAACTACGTAGCGACAAAGATTCCATTCTTCGTCAGCTACAGACATCCAATAGACAGCACTGAGAGGCTCTGCAACAAGACCAACACAGAGATCAGTTGTGGCCAGACATCTAAACAAGAGTTTGGTCGGCGGATGAAGGGAAGACACCTTGCGAAGGGCAACGAGGATCAGAATATTGCCAAGAACTGCAGTAATGGAGAGAAAAGCGTGGAACGCTGAAAGATATTTCAAATGTTTATGTATTCCACTTGCCCAGGCGGCTGAACATCGGAGTTGTAGAACTGTTTGAGTTTGCTTTCCTTCACCGATAAAATTCATTATTGTACATTACAGAAAGCTGTAGTATTGACGACAGATGTTTCATCAGACCATATACAGGAACAAGTAAGCTTCAAGTTTTGAACGACCAGTAGATTTATACTAAAACAATTAGATTATTCGCTCTCGATTTCTATGCGTGATAGAAATCTCGAGCTCATAATCTAATTGTTTACTAGTATTCAGTTAAAACTATACTGTCCTGCTTTTAAACTAGGCCTTGCACACCTAGAGAACTACGCATTAACAACCGACACAAAAGTATCAAGATTAAATTAATTTCACTAATAACTGGCGTTTTCTTTTACTTCTATTTAACCACACTTAAGTATAAGTTTCTTTACGATAAATCTTTCTAATGTTGTATTAAAAGTCTTCGATTGTTCTAATTCCGTTCACGTTTATATCTATTGGAGTCTAATCAAATTCTGAGGGTCTCAGGTGAAGGGGCGGGAGGGGGGAGACATATCAACCTTCAGGTATAATACTATAATTCATGGGTTTTTACGCGCTCGCCTGCACGTGGAGAAAGCCACGTTTGATTCGTAGTGTGATAGCAACACTTAGTTATCTATCCTAAGGGCGAGTAAGAGTTTTAAATGATCTGCCTTCCCCACTCCACCCCTCCCCCCCCCCACCAAAAAATCACTGAGAAGTTAAACCTTCCAAATAAGAAAAACTATTCAAGATTGTTTTCAAAAATTACGTTGCTTGTCACCTCTGTCCTTTTTATGAGACCGAATTCAACAAATTTTGACGTCATACCTGAGCAATTTCTCTGTTTCGAAAGGATAACGTTCACTGTAGTAACTCAATGTGATTTTTAACCCTGTCACACACAACAATTCGGCCATTACTAACAACTGCTAAAGATTCAGGAGACTTAAATTCCGCTGAATTGCTGCCTGTTGTTTCAAACTTCCCAACAAACTTTCCATTCAGATCAAATACTTGTGTTCTATGATTACCTGAATCACAGGCCATCATGTGTCCTGGCTTGTTCACTGATAAACAAGCCAGCGGATAAAAAATATCCGCTGACAAACAAGCCCGCGGATAAAAAATATCCGCTGACAAGCAAGCCCGCGGATAAAAAATATTCTCATCCCCTTTGCCCGGCTTTCCAAACCGTTGAAAAACTTTCCCTCAGTTTTGAAACTTTTATGTCATTTTCGAAACAGTCTGACGCTAAGAGATATTTATTTTCACTGAACACAGAACCGGGATAGGATAACGAAAATTTCCCTGCCCACCTATCTTCGTAAGAAACGTCCCGTCAGGAGAAAAGATCTTAATATGTGTGCTAAGTCCAGCAACAATAATGTTCCCATCACTGTCCACGGATAAACCACGGGGTGTAGAGAGATTACTATCACCTCTTCCCGTCTTACCAAACACTGATTCTAAAAAGTTATTGGATGAGGTTTTTGTGATATCCAGAATAATCGAGGTCGAGGTAGGGGTTATCAGCCGAAGCCAAAGGCTTCGGCTGATAACGCTTAACGAGACCTTGATTATTCTGGATATCACAAAAACCGAATCTAATAATTGTTTTAATATACATTGAACGAAAAAAAATGGAAGTCGTGTCTTTGCTTCTTCACTGATCAGAAAAGAGATAGTGAGTTCAATGTATAATGATATTGGTTATCAGACACTTTGCACATCAAACAATAGATCTTCACAAAAATTTACAGGCGAAGGCCTCTTTTTTCAAACTTTGTGAAGGTCTGGTAATGGCTGCAGAATGTTTAGAAAGTCTCAAAACTATGGAACCAAACAAGACACCTGGAACCATAGTTAATAGAGGGAAATGGTTAGGAGGGCCGTTAAATATCAAAGAAGTAAACAAACAGAGTAAGATTTATGTTGGAAGGTCCTTGACCCTGTAGAAATCCTTTGCCATACGCTCATAGACGATGCATGAATTACATGATCGTTTTGCTACTTTTAGTTGTATGAGCACACATAACCACGTGTTGTATTTTACCAGTTTTCGTGTAGGGTCGACCCCCAAAATAGCCAACAAAAACATACAACAAAGAACTTTGCCAGGTTTTATCACCATTTCCCTCTAAAATCTATGCTGGAACGGACGGAATTCCAGCTGAATTTTATAAAGCCTTTTGGAATAACATTAATAAGCCCTATTTTGATCTACTTTGTCGCCTCTATTAACGTTCCCATGCTAAGGCCTTATCTCTACATCATAAAGGAGAGGGTAAATAACGTTAATTGCCCGGCCCCCTCCTTTGAGACTAGAAAATATAATCTCCATAATAGTTAACGATTCATTTAGGAGTAATATATTATATGCGTTTGAAAATAATGTGTAAAGAGAAATGGGTCGAGCTGTCCCTCTAGGGAGGTTAACTGGGTGAAGAGGTTACACATTTTTTTTCTATTTAATTTCTCATTTAATCTGTTTCATTTCTGTTCCTCCCAGACGAATGCAAAGAAGAAGACTTCTTTAAAAGAAGTCTTCTAGAGAAAACGATTTCTGTCATCTCAGCCGTCTTTTCGGTCGGGGTTTCGTTCGGGCTTTTGTTTGCTTCCTCTGTTTGTTCATTTCTCTGCTGTTCACTCGGTTTTGCTCTTTGTCTCCGCCTTCGGCTGTCCATTTGTTCGGTTGTGTTGTGTTCGGGCGTTCGTTTCCTTCGCGCTCGTTTGGCTGTTCGTTTCTCTGCCGTTCATTCGTTTCTTGTTGTTTAGGCTGGAGTCATCTGTCTCATATTTGAATTCCTAT